GGAGTAATAGGTGGCTTAAGGCCAGTGACATCTTCAACTGCTGCAGGTGTCAGCTATGACTGTTGTCTGTCCACAGCTCAGTCTTACTCAAGTGATTTGACTCAAAGCAGTACTACTAAGCTAATATGAAGTAGAAAATCGGGTTTAAATTAAGAAGGAACCATCTTGTTTCCTTAGATCTTCGTTTAGTTTAAGTGCTAAAAGCCATAATCAGTTTTTCTCTCAGTCCTTGTTGCTTTTGTGAGAAAACCCGTCTAAGAGTATTTTGGAAATAGGCCCAGTGTTTTCTTCTCTGCTATGGCAAATATGTAAATTTGAAACCTGACTGAACACTTATTTAGTTCCATGTCTGAAGAAGGGTTTATGCATGTGGGGATGGAAAAAAAAGTAAGGCAGGCATTTTAATTTTTAAAAAAATTTGGCAAGGATCCCTTCACAAGGAGGTGCACATTAATAAATTCCTTCATAGCCTGTATGATCTATTGTGCTGTCCAAGTTGATTATGAAGCAGAACTGTGATAGTATTACCTGGACCTTAATTTTTTTTTTTTCTTTTCAGCTTGTTTAACTGGCATAATGATGTGAATGCTGCAAGGGAGAGTTACATATTCTGTATTAGCTAATACATGTTTTCATATAACAATACTTTTGTGTATATACAGTACTTGAAGTGGGCTACATTTCCTGAGATTTCAAATGAATTTACTGGCCCTTTGGTTTTCTCCATTTTATCGCTAATCTGAGGGTTCTGTATACATTGACCAAAGATAAATATACCTTTGAAAGGGAGAGTGATGCATCCTTATCACAAGCAGGAAATACAACATGATACCTGTTCAGGGAGAAGGAGGACATAATGTTGAAGGGAGGGTTGGACATCCATCCTGTTCTTACACCCTAACTGAGATTGCCAACATAGAAAATATTATTATATTCCTAGTTTTTGTAATGTGGAAGTGTACCTGGGAGACTTCCTGGTGGGAAAGAAAATTTGGAGGAGGAAGCATTCCCTAGAACCCTAAGAAAGCTCTGTGGGGAGAGAGATGTGCAGCAAATTGCTAGAATGTGAAATATGCAAAGCGTTTTTTCAGTGTAAAATTTTAAGATCATCCAAATGTCTCTTTCCCGTTGGGTCTGTACTGTTTGCAAATAGATGTTTACATTTAGAATGTTGCCCTTTTTTAAATATAATTATCACTGTTGTTTTTGTTTTTTTTCAAACTGTAGGTATGAGAAGGTGCCAGTAATTCTGGTTGGTAATAAAGTGGACCTGGAAAGTGAGAGAGAAGTATCATCAAGTGAAGGCAGAGCCTTAGCTGAAGAATGGGGCTGCCCCTTTATGGAGACCTCTGCTAAAAGTAAAACAATGGTGGATGAGCTGTTTGCGGAAATTGTTAGACAAATGAACTATGCGGCACAGCCAGACAAAGATGATCCATGCTGTTCTGCGTGTAATATACAATAGCATTAAACATGACCTAACCTGGACTTAATTTGCAGGAATTTTGTAAGGTGGTAAAACTGTCTACTTCACTTCCTGGTTTGTGGGTCACTTGAAATACATCTGTAGTGAAGTAGCAACATTAACTCGGAGCTGAGCATTGAAAGTCAATCACTGACTCTGAATATAGTTGGGTTAAATGACCACATCTCGCCCGTTTTTCCCTTTGAGCACCTGCAATTTTGTGGCGTAGTCAGTTGATCTACAGGGTCGTTCCGGTTGAGCGTACATGTGTTGTCATGTCAGGCAGCAACTATTTCTGAGGAAGTTGGAAAACTTTTCGAAATGGGAAACAAAAGCAGTGGAGAGAATATCTCTGAAGACCATTCACAATTAGCGTAAGCGCGAAAGGAGAGCCAAGTCTTTCAGTGTCTAATTACCGTGCTTCAGGACGTGCGCTATCACTTGTGGCCAAGTTTGTTCAGTCAAATATGTTGATTTCACCAGAACTTCTGACAGTGTTAGAGGAAGAGGCTACCAGAGACCTATATAGTTTGGATTTTTTTCAAAATTGATGCTATTAATTTCTACACTTTATCCCACATCTTGAAATAGAAAACATTGCATCAGTGTGTGAAATGAGGGGCAAGATCTGGAAACAAATGATGGGTGAAGAAACAGTCTGGCATTGGAATGTTTTAAATCTTTCATTTTGCTGCTCAAAAATGGAGGATTGCTTCAGGTTTTGGTCTGCAAAAAGCCAAACAAACCCTCTGTTTACAAAGCAGGAAGCATCTTTATTTATCACTTTACTGAACCAGGAGGAAGCAACTGTGATGAAAAAAAATTGCTGAGCCTTACTAACAAGGAACACTTTAATAGATTAACTAGTACCATCTTGTAAGGAAAATTAAGCCATGTTGCATCCATATGTTCCCTTCTGCAGAAACCTCGTGGGACAGTATGAACATCCTGCATTTTTAAGTTTGTTAAAGACAACAGTTTTTCTTGCCTTTAAGGGCTACGTTCTCTGGTGTGATCCCTAACCAACCTTTGAAAATCAAGTTTGCTATCTGATAGCTTTAATGTTGAAAACTTAAATTGAATAACCATGTGAAATCATTTGGTTCAGAGGTGAAATTGTTGCGGTTGTAATTCCTTAGGTGAGTGTGGAAATGGCTCTTTAATTGCCTGACACACTATTCAAAGGTTGCCCCAATTATTGGAGTGTTAAATGGTGGGAGCAAATATTTTATTTCGAAAGGATGCTCGAGCTCTGACTTGCTAGTTTCATAGCAGTGAAGTATTTATCATTTGCATGACTAATGGCACAGAAATACCTATTCCGAAGTCTTACAATCGAAGTATAGAAGAGTTTTCAATCACAATGTTTAGATTTTAAATGCTGGAGAGAGATTGTCTTGAGCTGGATCTTTTATAGGTAAAATTGGCCATAAAAATACAGAGTCACTGAGCCTGTGGTCTAAATAACACCATGCGTTTATTAGTTTTTCAATCTTGTGCAGTAACAGTGTAGTTCCTTGTGTTTAAATGAGTGAAAACAGGGGTGCTGGGGGGTGTGTGTGTGTGTTGAGCGTGTATGTCTGTGTGTATATGGCCCTTAGAAATGCTGTAATTGGAGTTAGGTTCGAGCGTTTTGCCTCCATCTGCAGTACTTCCTAAAAAACACTCTCATCTGCTACAAAGGAAACTTGAATACAAAACGCTTTGCAGATTTTCATACATAAATATCCTTAACATTTTGAATTACAGTTCAGTGGATGATAACTAAAGGACATCATGTTAATGGAAGAGAACTGGCCATCTCTGCCCTTAATCTTTCAAGACCTTTCCACAACCGATGTATCAAAGGGCATTAGGTGTCACAAAACATTAAGCCTTACTAGAACGTAAATGTAGCCCGTTTCCCATCTACCTTGCAGAGCTTTCGTTACTGTACTTTGTTCTCTTGGGGAGATAGGCACACCGTTTCTTTCTGGCATCTGAATGCCCGTTTTGGGTGCTCTGAATCGCCCTCCTAGAGGCACCTACCTCTTACCATTGACTATATAGCAAACTTAGGCTTTTTACTTTGGTCCTCCGAGTCACACAACTTATATGCCTAAACTAGATGGTATGAATGTTCTCTTCCCCCCCGCCCGCCCAGTGTGTCAGCCACCACGCTTAAGCAAGATGCGAGATGTTGAATTAATGATATTTCAATGTTTAAAATATCTAGATTGGGAAATGGTTTATCGAGCAGTACAACCTATCTGTAAAACAGCTTGTCAGTGAGAGATCCACTGCATAAGTGCTCAGAAAAAAAACCAGCCCCAGAACCAAACCCGAATTTGAAACTGAGTTGGAAGTGCATGTTATGCAATGTTATTTACAGAGATGTTAAAATCTTACCTCAGAGATTGTTCATCAACCAAGAAAATGGCATGAAGTACAGTATGAACAGCCTAACATGGAGTTCATAATGTAAAACAGATGGGCTTTTAACATAGGAAAAATTGCACAGTAAAATTTTTAACAGAACATGTTAATGAAAATATCTCCCAGTCTTGTTTCTTCATTACACTCTTACATTTTCAAAAACTTAGGCTGTAAATAAGCTACCACACAACGTGGCGGAGGGGAAAGCGTAAGTGTTGTTTTTCATTGTATAGTTCTGAGGAAGTAGTTATGCACTATTTGTATTTCCACTAATGTGAAGATAGTGGAGCTTGAATCAATGACAGTTGCACTCGACAGAGATTTTTCAAATTATAGGGGTAGCAGAAAAGGGGGAGGTAAGTGAGCCATGCAGCAGCTGCGTGGCCGTGGCTGCCCTGCGGGAGTCATTGGTCTTGGGTCACCGTTTCATTTGTACCCTGATAGGGTTACCAATTATAGTATTTGAAAGTTTCTTACAACATGCCTTAAAATATTATGATTTGTTCCAAAGACCCACTTTTCCTTTGGCTGTTCTTGTAGAGCCTTGTATTTTTCTACAAAGACAGCATTTCTCCAGTTTTGTTGTTTTTTTAAAATGTTGCAACTTTTATTCTTTTAAGCTATGATAGTGAGAGCAACTGTTTCCTACACACACAAACAAATCAAAGCAAACAAACCAGAATCAGATCAAGAGTATTAAACATCATTGCATTGGTTTTTGTTTTGTTTTGTTTTTCCCTGTTGTGTCCATCCCCCTGCCCGCCCCTTCAGAGCATCAAAAAAATTTTGGTGACACTTTCTGTTCTGGTTCTAGCCTCTCCCTAACCCCAGTGCTACAGTTGCCATTACTTTTCTGTGGGAGAACTACTGGTATTTGCTTTCCTGTATAGAATGTTGCCTAAAGATCTCACCCATTTGGTTGGGGGGGGGGGGTTGTGCATGTTTGTTTTTTATTTTTATTTTATTTTTTTTACCAGTGTGCCGTCAAAGCACTGGTTAGGCTTTAATTGTGAAACTCCACAACAAAAGCAAATGTTTGACAACTGCAGGAGGCTTTTATCTGCATTGTTGTGCATCTGTTAATTCTTGATCAGGGTTTGAAGAAAGACTGAAGTGGGTTCTGGAATCAGGCTTAACGCTGTTGATTTGGAGTTTCCTAGGGTGAATTAATGTATTTCACAGTTAATTGTTGAGCTCTAATACAACTGGCAACTTAAAATGGGGCAACAGTTTGTTTTGTAACAATGTCAGTTGTTTAAACCTTGATGTTTCAAATAAAACAAGAATTGTACATAGAACTCAATGCAAACTCAGCAGTTGTATTTGGAGTTAAATTATTTTAACAAATAAATTTATTTAATGAAATCTCCCTTGCATGTCCTGTATTGTCTATTTTGATTTGATCAAAAAGTTCATCCAAAGCTGACGAGGGCTACCCGGTAATTTCAAACAACACTGTCAGCTATTTGCAGTTCAGCTAAGTATTTGTTGCCAAAATGCTCTTCTGGTGCAAATTAAACAGCAATAAGTAAAAAGCAAATACACTTTAATTTTTATGGATGGATGCGTGTTGTGATTTAAGTTATAAGCCTTATAAAAACCATAGCAAAGGGGGGGTTGTTTACTTTTCTTAGAGGGATATACATTGACAACAATCAGTAAGACAGTATTTGATAAGGTGTGGCTCTTGCTATGGCGAGAGAATAGTGCTTATTGTAAAATATAATAAAAAGATGTACAAACTTGGTCGATGTGTGATATAGCTCATACGCAGAACTACTTTTATAACGTTGAGGTTGCAAAGGGTTAAAAAAGGATTGTTTGTTATATCAGCTGTTCAATTGATGAGTGTTTTGCAGGCTTTCAGCACCATACAAAAGGAGTTAGTGTTAGAAAGGACTTCAAATACAATTAGGGTTGCAGAGATTTATAATTGAACAGTTGAGCTAATGCTAACAGGATTATTCTAGCTAATTGGCACTGATCAGCAGTTACATTTTAGTCATGCCAGTATCACTAAAATACCCTGTTCTCAGTAATGATGGGTGCTTGGTGGTCTCTTGTTTTCATGTCATGCATGCCATAAGGAACAAGAAGCCTGAGGCTGGCACATCTGAAAAGCTCCTAGTTCTGTGGACAATATAGAAGGCTGACACATACTGCTAACTTCATGTTTTTGATTTGCCCGTTCATTCTGTAAAGCAGTTCCAGGGGAATTTTTGCAGTCCCATTAATTTAGTAATATCCTTTTGTTTTGCCCGAGAAGATACCTATAAAGGGACAACAGGAATCAATTGCGTTGTTCTCAATGGTTCCAAAAAAATGCCGGTATGCGACGTGCTCTTTTCAAATATTGAACAACTAGAAAACTTTGAATGTTGTACTCTTAACAAATGCTTTCTCTGGGCCCATTTTTTTGTTTGGGTTTGTTTGGGGTTGTTTTTTTTAGCTACTGCAGGAAGCTCATTAACTCTCTGAGAAAGCTTTGTAAAATATTTTGATTGGAAATAAATATCTTGTTATCAGTCCACGGGTATCAGTCTTACTGGATCACCAATCTTGGGTCACTACTTCTGTTGCTTGACCAGGGAGTCACTGGACTACATCTTCTATCCCAGGTTACCTTCAGTAGCATTCTCTCCCTTGCTGTTTACCTGCTGCCTTGTGCTTGCTTCTCCACCGAAACGGCATCCTTCTTCTGAGAGCAGGAAGAATTATTCTGAAATTGCTGACAACTGTTTTTATTGCTCTGTCTGGCTCACACAAGTGTACTCGGTATGTAGTCATATCTTCCTTTTGCAGGCACCAACTTGATCAGTCTGT